CAGCAAATGTTGGAGAAGCCAATAGGCCCACTTTGAGTACACTCAGCATATTCTCAGGTTTTGTTCCGTGCCACAAATACCTTAAGCAGTGCATGCGTATTTCCAACATTTATCATCTGCCAGGAATGTTATTCAAAACACGGGCATGCAAAAAGAAACGGCAGAGGAGACTAGTGGGCCTAGTATAATGAGTGGTGCTTTTTCTTAGACTTCAGGCACTTTGCTCAAATCCGCCAGCAACAAAAGCAATTCCTCTACGAATCAACGATTCGTTTCAATGGTCATCTGGTGATGCGGCGTTTAACAAGCCGGAAATTCGGGACATATTCCCGTGAAAATGAAAGAATAATCGCCAACCTATGGTTGCCAACTTCCAGCGCGTTGCTGTTGAATGCTCTTGCCGGTTCTCGACTTCTAACTGCATATATAGCTTCTACGGAACAAGATGATGTTATCTGAATATTCTGTAGGATCTGCTGCGTCATTAAATCATCCGGATTGAGTAACGTCAAATCGCTTTCCAAACCATCCAATATGTACCTAGAAAGTTCGCAACAAGCAGTTGGCAGGCCTGGTATTACTTCGTCAGTAATTTAAAATTGCTTTTCATAGCCTTTCTTTCACCTTTCTGAAGCACAGCTCCCCCCGCGCGCAGGGTATGGATGTCACTTTACCCTAGGAAATCACTAACAGTGGCGGACTAAGCCGCCCAAATTTCACCTTAACAGCTTTCGTAGATCTGAACATTGAAATATGATGACACATACACACGAATAGTCAATCTTGCAGAGACATCCGTTTTTGCATTCCATAGATACAAAAAATGCATTAAAAGTGCTGAACCTTACAAGTACGGATCGATGCGATCCATGTTGTAAGCTGCTGCTGTCACCAATTTCCCGGCTATTTCCATCTCAAACAAGCTCTCCACTGTTCGTTCATATTCCTCCAAAACGTTATCACTGTCGATCATTGGTAGCGAACTATTTTCGAAGCCACTGAGCGGCATTAACCTTAAATCACAACATAAGGAGACGCTGATTGGATAAAAAAGCGAAGAATTCTAAAGTGATCAAAAAAAAAAGAACACCAAATGCATGAGAGGAATGTATCCGGGTGAAGAGAGAAGTGAGCAGACAGGACAGTCGATAAAGAGGCAAACATCGATGGGCCAGAGCAGTTGACGGTAGTAAAATATTTCAGTAAAAAAAGATAATAGGTTCAAAAACGCTAATAGGAACCCCACGCAAATATCAGAAAGAAGCACAGTCGAGGACGCTTAATTTGACGGCGCCCCAAACTCTACAGAAAACAACACCGCTAGCGCTGAATGGTGTGCCAAACAAAAATGCAATAAAGAAACATAAAAATGGCAAATCTTCAACCAGCCCAACTGTGATCTCTGATTCTGATAACCTAACAGCTACTGCCTCACCGCAAACCATCCTTATCACCGATGTGAACGATGACATTTTCATGACTGCTCTGACCGAAAATTGAGCTGCCTATCAAGTGGACGGCTCAACCAATAACCCTGGTGTTCACATCTCTGCATTCTCCGTCCGTTTTTTTCAGTGATGAACATTATATGGACTACAAATCCTACATCGGCTATGTGATCCTTGAGCTCATCCACTCGCAACTTACAAGCTTGACAACAA